CTGTGAGAGCTCCTGGTCTTCACACATGGTCTTGAGAGCAGATTGGCTTTGCGCAGGGCTTTGGGAGGCCTATGTGCTGTGCCTCCCAGGTGCTTTGGGAGCTTGTGAGCCTGGGTGCTTGGCGTCACGTAGGGCTTTGGCAGATACTGGAGCTGGGTGCTGGGCCTTCTCCGGGGCTGTGGGAGCTTATGGGCCTAGGTACTGGGCATCACAAGGCACTCTGAATATTTTTGAGTCTTATATGCACTGGGATTTGTTCTGGGCCACAATATGTAGCAGAGTCTCTGCTGAAGTCTTGATCCATATGGGATTGTGGAATTGTTATAGAGCTCTGTATGAGTGTGGGACTAGAGCTGTTGACAGATCAGGCTATGAAAAAAGAAGGTGGCCAGAACTTCAACCCCAGTAAAAGTCACAGGGGGGACTGGGGCTTCCCCATGACTGCTTGTGTAGAAGTTGGGGGTCCAGAGACATGTCAGACAGAAAGAAACAAGTCTGATGTCTTGAAAACCTGTATAGACCCACACAGTCATGGGATGTTGAGGTGTTGGGTAGTCTATATAGCTCCATAAAGGAGCAGTGGCCTTCCCAGTTCTGGTGTGATGAGAACCTATATGGCAAGCAGAAGAGTGAAATCTCCCTTGAATTCATTGCTCCCACTCAAAATTTCTTATGTGATCAAATACAAGAAAAAACGTGATGTGAGTGTGGCTAGACACCGGAACAGGTTACTTGGAGAGGTTGGAGAGCCTCCATCCCTTGAGATACTCAAAACATAACCAGAGATGTTCCTGAATAACCTGTAGCTGACTGCTTTGAACAGGGTGGGGGGGGGTGGACTAGGCAATCACTAGAGATCCCTTCCAACCTCAACTATTCTGTGACTCAGATGGTGGGAGTTTGGGTGTGCTTCTGGTGAAGACAGCAAGGTTTATAAAGCAGAACTTTGTCTTCAGGTGACGGTCCTCCTGTGTGTTCACACAGCGACGGTACTTACGGTCAGGACTGAAGTTTTTAACCTTTGTTTGTTACATGTCTGGTCTATGTGGGTGCAGAGTCCCCGCTGTGAATCTGGGGCAGTATGATCTCATAAGATCCCTTCTGACCTGATTTTTTCTGTGCTGATTGTTGCGGCTTTACTGTCCCCTGCATCTGCAGGACACTGTGGCTGCCAAGCTGTCCATTTCCCTGCTGCGCCACACTGAGCTCCTCCCTGCAGACAAGGCTTTCTATGAAGCTGGGATGGCTGCCAAGGTAAGAGCTATCTGCCACCAGTGCAGCGAAGGGGGTAGAGAACCCTGAGCTCAGAGATTCTCAACTTTATATTCCCCTATCCTCCCCTAGGTGCACTGGTACACCAGTAGCCAGACACTGGCATTGGGGCCTTTCCTCAAACAGCTTGCCTGCCTCTGCATTTTGTCACGGAATGGCAGTAGGTAGTGGGAGGACACAGACCTGAGCTAGTGAGGGGACATGAACTGCAGACCCAGGGGGTAGACCAGAGGCCACATTATATTGCATGGCTCTGTTAGTGTAGATGCAAGACTCCTAACTGGTCTGCCTTGCTCTGGGCCACCTAAGTGTTACCTGACTCCTGAGGCTACAGGCTCTGACTGCCTGCCCAGATGCAATGACATATGGCAGGCACAACAGCATGTTCTCACTGTCCAGTGCTGGCTGTGCAATAATGCCTGACTCCATCTTGCTAGTGGGCTGGTTGTCCCAGTGGTTGCTTGTGAAGCAGTCCTCAGGGATGGTGAGCTGGGATGTGCACTCTCTTTCTCCATTACCCATGCTGCAAGCAGGATGTTGTGGCACACACAGAACCACAGCCTTTCTGGCCATCACTCAGGCAGGAGAGTTGTGGCTGTGAAAATTAGCTGCCTGGTCTCACTTGCGGTTCTTCTCTGTACTAGGCGGTCAACTGGGATAACATGGCATTCATCTTCCTGAACCGCTTCCTGGACCTCTCAGATGTGCGTATAGTCTGCTGGAGGGAGGGCTGTCATACTTAAAATGACAGTGGGCTGTAGGGCCAAAACATAACCTGGCCAGGGTACTCCTGAGGATCAAATGTGGCAGCACGTGTTTGAGCTGGTGCCGCTGCTCGGTGTGTGTGCATGCACAGCACTGAGTACCCCAACGCTGGCTGTGGAAGGACTTGCCATGCAGGGCACCTGAGGAGCCCTGACCGTGTCACTCTGTGCGTGCCAAGGCCACCATGCATGCATGCTACAGCTAAGAGCAAGTTGGCCTGACAGTTTAGGCCTGTAATCTTCATGGCTGCAAGTGCCATTACAGCTTTCATCTGAATTGTTCCAAGTGAAGGAAGATTACCTGAGGAGTGGAGGGCATGGCCCGATGTTTTAGCCACTGTCATGCAGGACCCAGGAGTCCCCCATGCCAGTCAGCTCCTTCCCTCACTAGACAGTTAGTCACCAGAAAACACCAAACACTAAGGAAGCTGGCAGACCTTACTGTACCAGCCTTCCAAGTGCTGTCAGCAGCTGCTGGGAAAAGAAAGCTTTCCATTTTAGCTTTCCCTTCTTTGAGGCCACCTGACCAGTTTGAGTAGTACAGTGTTTCAGGGGCATACATCCTCTGACACTGCAGGGGATGGCCATAAATGCCATCTCCCAGAAGGGCCCCGTCACCACAGCACTAATAGACCAAGGCATCAGTAATGCCATCCTCACAGTGTAGATTGTACTGTCAGCTCCAAGGATGGTATTGCCTTGTGCTCCACCACTTCTCCTTTCTCAGGCCATTGAAGAAGGGAACTTGGATTCTCTGGACCACTCTGATTTCCAGAGCACAGACATCCCCTTTGAAGTGCCACTTCCAGCCCAACAGCACGTGCCTGTGAGTGTCATATGTCTTCTTCAGCTCCCGTGAACGGTGATGCTGCTTCAGGGCCCTCTCTGAACAGGGACTGGGGCAAGGGTGTTACAGCAGGCACCACAGGAGATGGAAATATGCTCAGCACTGCCCCTGTGCCTGTGTGTGTCCTGTACTCCCTGGCCCTCAGCACACATGCACACACACGCGCTTTCTCATGCTCCCTCCCGCGTACGCTCACACACTCCCCAAATACACACACATGCATATGCATGTCCAACTCTCCCCAGTGTGCTGCAGAGCAGCAGCTGGTTGGGGGGACAGTGTGCAGTATCAGGAGGTGCCCAGGCCTCTGCCCCACAGGAGGAGAAGCGGGAGGAGGTCAGGGACTGGGTGCTCACCATGTCCATGGACCAGCGGCTGGAGCAGGTACTGCCACGGGACGAGCGTGACACCTACGAAGCCTCACTGGTGGCAGCAAATACAGGGGTGCGGTCCCTGCCCTGTGTGCTCACAGGTAAGCTCCAGGCCAGCTCACATGTATGGAGGGGAGTGGGAACGTGTTGCAGGCAGGGGTCTGGGAGGGAGGTCAGGCTGTGCTGTAACTGGAGTAACGGAAACTGTGTGGCTGTGGGACCAGTTCTGCTGGAGGAGATGAAAGTACCTGTTTTTTACTGTGAGGGAGACTGAGCACTGGAACATGTTGCATAGAACTTGCGGCATCTTGGAGTCATCTGGATGCAGTCCTGGGCAACTGGCTGTGGCCCTGCTTGAGAGCAGGGTGGGGTTGGACCATACAGACTGCAGAGGTCCCCTTCAGCCTCCACCATCCTGTGTTTCTGTGATTCTGTGACTGCCCCGTCCTGCGCTGCACTGCTTTGGAGCCTGCCCAGGCTGGCAGCGCACATGCAGCCTGTCCCCTCTTTGGCCACCCCCCCCCCCCCCCCCCCCGCCTAAAGCTGTCTGTTCTTGGCAAGTACTGCCCCCCCACGCGCACACTTCAGACAGCGGAGGATTGAGTTGCAGGACTTGGAAGAGTGGGTTGGAGAAGCGGGGAGCCAGGGTAGGCCACCAGCAACAGGGCTCTGGCTCCAAAGGCCGTACTTGAGTGTCCTTGCCAGAGGGTCAGACCTTTATTTTCCTTTGAGCCCACTGCTGTGGGCACCCCCTTCCTCTGGTTCTCTAGAGGGAAGCCAGAGGTGGCATTGTTCCCCTGCACCACCCCATGGGAGCAGCCCTGGCCAGCTGGCCATGGCAGAGAGGAAATGGGGGCACAAGGCGGGGGAGTGCTGTAGGTCACTGCTTGTTTCTGAGGGTGTCACTGTGTGACCAGGGTACCCTGTGCTAAGGAACAAGATAGAGTTCAAGCGGCCAGGCCGAGAAGCCAGCAAGGACACATGGAACAAGTTCCTGATGGCTGTCAAGGTGAGCCAGGCACCCTGTGGGCAGGGGGACGGGTTGCAGGGTGCTCAGCCACTCATGCTGACAACAAAACATTGTCCTGCTGGGTGGAGATCCACTGAACCAGGATGGGTTTAGTGCATCCTCCATGCGTGCTGCTAGACAGGGATTAACCTCACTTCCTCAGCTGGGGCAGTCCCAGCCCTACCTGTGCAGCTCTGCCAGCCCAAGGGGTGCCCATGGGCAAGGGGTGATGGTGCTGGCCCCTTGCCACTGCCAGAGCCTTTTTCATTCTGCAGACATCCCACAGCCCTGCGTGCCAGGATGTGCTCAAGTTCCTCAGCCAGTGGTGTGGGGGACTCCCAAGCACCAGCTTCTCTTTCCAGTGAGCTGGACTGTGAAAGCTTTTAGTCCTGTTCTTCAGCACCTTCCACTCCCGCCCCCAATAAACATGTCTCTCAACCCTGCTGTGCTACTGTTTGTCCAGGGATGCTGAGTCCAGGAACATGTGTAGCTCCCAGGGCACAGGACCATAACCCTGCACACACGCATCTCCTGGCCTCAGCCTAGCTGTGCTGAACATGCGCCTTCCCCGGGCCGTGCTGGGTGACTGTCACACTGGGACCATGGATCTGTCTGTGTCCCCGTGCCTGGTCAGAACAAGAGTGGGGATGGGCTTACGTACCAGCTGCACTGCCATTCTGTCAGTGGGCCCAGCTCCCAGCAGGCATCCACCCTGGAGAGCCACTTACAGCAACCAGTGTGAAAATGAAAGTTTATTTAGTTAGGGAAACAACAGAGGCTCAGAACAAAGGGGCTCTTCACCTTTCACTCCCTGGCCTGCCTAAGTACAGGCCCAGTAAGCTGACCCTGCCTGCTCTGCAGTAGGGCCACCCAGACCCAGGCCAGCCCTGGCTGTTGCCAGGTCCTAGCACCTCTGCCTCTCCCTACCACTGCCCATAGAAGTCCGATGGAGCCTTCAGTGTGCCAAGAAGGCCCTTGCAGCTTGGGGAGAGAAGGGGCGAGCGTCAAGGACCCATGGCAGCCGCTGGGCCAAGGCTGCCTGATGACCCTGGGCAGCCTGTATCTGGAACCTGCAGGGTTTGTCCTGGGTGGGGTGGTGGGGCTGGGTGGGAAGGCACACCCCCTCCCCTCCCTGCAGCCCACCCTACCCATGCTTACACCTTGGGGCAGGAGCATGGTGCAGGTGCAACTTCACCTTGCTGGATCGCAGCACTCCTGCAGCACCACCTGGGAGTGGAAGAGCACGCATGAGTGCAGGACTGTGCTGCAGGGCCAGACATACGCTGACACCTTGGGCCAGTCTTTGTAGCATGTACCTGGAGACATTTCGGGGTGGGGGTGGTGGCTGGTGTGGGTAGAGGCCCTTTTGACAGTGGCACCTGCCTCCTCCCGTCCCCCCAGCACAGCCCACGAACTGCACTCACCTCGCCAGCTAGGGACAAGACTCAGCCACCCCCACCAGGAGTTGCTGCATCTCACGCGGTGGCCCCTCCTTCACTGTACTTGACCCAGCCAGCTAGAGACAAAAAGTGGTGGAGAGTTGCAAGGACGTGCAAAGGGCTGGGCCAGGTTGGGGGGGAGGAGGGCAACGTTCATGTAGCACAGTCAGGACAAAACAGGCTTGGCTATTAGAGGGATGAAGAGGAGGGTCACTCTGCAACTACCCAAGATGAAGGGATGCCAGTCTGTCACCAAGGCTGGCTGGAAGCAGTTCAAAACTTAACATCCCCCCCTCCCCTGGCACTCCCCCTCCCACTGCTGCACAGCATGCTTGTACAGGAACACAGACCCAGCACCTTCAAAGCGCGGCAAAAAGGCAGCAGTAGTGTGGCGGAAGCAGGGAGACCCGTCCGGACTGATGGGCTGTACCTGCTCTTTGTTGTAGCTGCGTGCACAGGGCCCGACACCCCGGAAGATGAGGGCCACCAAACAGCACCTGCCAGACAGCACAGCTTCTGCAGCTGCCAGCGCCATGGCAGGGAACCAGAGCGCCAGGGCTGTGTCCTGCAGAGCAGAGGGTCAGAGGTACTTCAGGGAGTGCAGTACACTGCACCCAGCCTGCCTGCACGTGGCCAAGCAGTGGCTGTGCCGGCAGTGGTGGGGAGAAGGGCGAGGGAGGGAGCAGGAAAGGGAGCAGGAAGGAGAGCAAGAAGAAGACAGGCAGAGAGAGGGTGGGCAAAAGCATTAGCAAAAAAGAGTGAAAGCAGATACAAAATGAGGAAGAGCAAAGGGGGGGTGGCGTAACCCTCACAGACTCACATAGATGCGTGTGGTGTTGAAAGGACAGTCGTTGGTCACTATGGCTGCACGGGCATCAGCAGGCAGAGCAGAGCTGTTGCAGCCCATGACAAGGTGCATGCCCCGGCTGTGAACAGTGAGGGCAATGGCCAGTGCCAGGCCCACGCTGCATGCTGTGGACAGGAGGCAGTTCAACAGGGCCACACTCAGTAGCGTCCAATGCTGTGGGCAGCAAGGAGAACACGTGAGAGTGGGGCTGGCCAGAGCCAGGGGAAATGCCAGGGCTAGGCACACTGCACCTCCACGCGCCCATTCTGCAGGGTAACTGGGGTGCTGGGAACCCCACAGAGGTTTCCGCCGAATGAGGACATGCCATTTCTTGCCCCTTCTAGCGCGGCGGAGCCCTGCACTCGGATGAGGCTTCTGCACCTTTTGCGGACAGCCCCTTCCCACATGCTCCCTCCTGCACCAGGGGAGCCCCAGCACAGGCCCAGCTCCACCGAGAGCCAAGGCCCCCACCAGCAGCTTCGCCCCACGCAGGCCCGCCCTGCGCGTGCCCACAGAGGGATGCCCGACCCCGGCTGCAGCCTCACCTCCCAGCTGAAGCGTTTCTGCCCCAGAACGGTGCCCGGCGCCCGCCCCCCCTCCCGGTGCTGCAGGCGGGGCCGCGCCGGGGCAGCCGGCGACACCCACAGCCCCGGCAGCTGCCGAGGCGGAAGGAGCCACCGGGAACAAGGTCCAGGGGAGCGGCTGCCGGCGGGGGGCTGGGCCGCGCCGAGGCCCCCGGCCCGCTCGGCTGCTGACCCCGCGGCCCCACACTCACCAGCGCTGCCCGGGACAGGTTGTGCGACACCAGGATGGCGACGATGCCCACGGCGATGCTCTGGGGAGAGAGATCCGCGCTCAACACGGCGCCGCGGGCAGGGCCGGTTTCCCCCCCCCCCCGCGGCCCGGGCCGGTTCCCCCCGCCGCGGCCCGCCCGCTCTCACCAGCAGCCCGGAGCCCACCGACACCACGTTGGCCACCGCGTACTCGGGGGTGACGGCGCGGCGGGCGCCGGCCACGTGCCGCAGGACCGAGCCGTGCACGATGGCGCCCAGCACCAGGCTGCCGTGGCCCAGCACGATGAGCCCCAGCCCGGCGCACATCAGCCGCCGCGGCTCCGCCAGCGCCCCCGGCCGCCCCCCGCGCCCCCCGGCCATCGCCGCCGCCGCCGCCGCCGCCCCAAGAGCCGCCGGCACCGCCCCGGGGCAGGGCGAGCCCGGCCCGCCCCCCCCCGCCCCGGAAAGAGGCAGCACTCGTGTATTTACAAAACGGTTTATTAAAAATAGGAAGTGATAGAAATGAGATGCAGGAGCAGAGCCGCCGGCTGGGCCCCGCTCAGCGCCCCGGGACGGGAGGGGGGGGACGCGGGGGCAGGTCCCAGCGCTGCCCCCGCCGCGCCCGCAGCCCCCGGGCCGGCGGCGCCGGGCACGGGGAGCGCGGGGCGGGCTCGCCGGGGCCGCGGCCCCCGGGCGCGCCAAGGGCCGGGGGGCAGCGGCTGCGCGGACCGAGTAAACAGAGCGCAGCCGGGGGAGGGGAGCGCCGGCCACCCCCGCTCCCACCGCCCGGCAAGGCGGGGAGGGACTGGTGCCGCAGGCAGGTGCGGAGGGGACAGGGCTGAGGGGCTGGCCCCTGCTTACCTTTAAATAAAAAAAAAAAAACAAAAAAACAAAAAAACAAGCATTTCTGTGCTGTGCAAAAGATACTTTGTACAATTCAAACAGAACAAACTCCATGCACATGAACGGGGCTACAGACCACCCCAAGCCAGGGCCCGGCTCCACAGCACCACCTGGCAAAATCCCAACAAAAACAGGGCTGGAAATAATACTGATGCGCAAAGTCCCCTTTAATAGGCGGGCAGGGAGGATTGTCGCTGAGCCCAGCCAGGGCACATGCAGGATGAGCTTCCAAGCACTGCAGCTGGGGTCTTGCTGATGCCCTACAGTGATGGACAGACACAGAAGGGGTCACAGGCAACAAAGCCACACTGGCCGCCTGGGAGCTGAGGGGTGCTAAGATGACACAGTCACTGCTGTCAGGGCTCCGTTCCGGGTGTAGTAGAACTTGCTGAATGCCTCTTCAAGTAAACAGGTAAGTCTGCTCTGGTCAGCCTGGGAAGAACAAGATACAGTGAGGGGTAGGCCCAGCCCACAAAAACCCAAGAGTTTGGCTGAAGCCTGCCAGGGCACGGCAGAGGGGGAGGGTGTGTAGCAGGGACATATCTTATTTCTCCTACCTCCCCAGCCAGAAAGTGACTGATTTGGCATAAAACATTTTAGAAAAGAATGCAGACCTCTATCCCTGCCTGAACCCCAGGTCTGCTTACCTCACTGATGAACCCAAGCTGGACCAGTTCAGCTGCCAGCTCCTGGATGTTGTCATCTGCAACACAGGGAAGGGTGTAAGTCCCAGGTCTGAGTGCACTGCTAGCCCCAGTGTACCAGAGAGCATGGGAAGAAAAGTACTTACTGGGCTGCAAATCACAGCTCAAGTGTCGATTCAACTTGTCTTCCAGTTTCAGCAGCAGTGTTAACTGCAGAGTAGGAAAGTTCTCATGAGGGACTGCACTCTTGCAGGCCGCCACAGCCAGCCAGAAGCATCCCCAGAAATCCCTATCAGCATAGGAAACAACCCCCTCCAGAGCCCCATGGGAGCCTGACACAACCACCACATCCAGCTCCATCCCAAACCACAGCCAGCAGCACCATCCTGTAGAGGAAGCCTGAAGCTGGGGTGGGCTGAAAACATTTGCTGTGTGACAGGTCAGCCACAGGCTGGGACCTGGACCCAGCTGTGGGCCCCAGAGACGGCAGCTGTGGCAGCAGTGGGTCACAGCAGGCACCAGCAGCACACCAGCATGCTGGAGCCCTGAGGTCTGCACAGCTGCCCTGGCACACCCCACACAGCGTGCTCAGCCAGGAGATGGGAACATACATGGTGCTTCACTCCCTCCTCTACTGACTCGATGTTGCACTGCATCAGCACCACCTGAAAAGGAAGCAGAGATGCCTGTGACCAACGCTGCTGCGCAGCACAGCTGCCTGTGGAGGGCAGGAGTGGAGCTCCCATCTCTCACCTTGCGGGTCTCCACCTCAGCAGGCTCTGGAGTCGGGGTTTTCACTGATGGTGGAGCAATAGGAGACTTCACCACTACCTGCTGGGGCTGCTGAGGTCGTGGCATCCCAAAAGCTGTGAGTGGGTATATACCATTCCTACAAGAAAAGAGCAGGGTCTGAGGTTATGCCTCTCTCAATTTTTTTCAGTCTCACACAGAGTTAAAGTTGCCCTTTAAAAAAATCCTCTTACCTTACATCTTCCAGAAACTTGTCCAGCTCCAATGCTGGAGATTGTGAGAAGCTAATAAATAAATAATAATAAAAAAAAAAAGCACTGAGGTTAGAAGTCATCTGACAGAACCATCCACTCAAGTCTCTTCAGATGCAATTTCAAATCCCTGTCTCCTAGACTGCAGGTGTGTCAGTGGGCAGGATGAATACAGATAGTTGCAGCCACCCAAAGGTGAGACAGACTCCAGTCATCTTGTACAGGAAGCAACCATTCATAGAAGCTAAGGTGAGGCAAAGATTTTAATTATGGCAAAACAGGTATCACCTCCCTGCAGAAAGTTGTCCAATGCAAACAATCATCTGGAAGCTAGCCCGGTAACACCATGTTCCTAGCAAGGTTTTCCAAAGACATCTGTTATACCAGACCCATGGAGCTCGTGTCCCATCTCCAGAAGAACAAGAACACTCAGCACTGCAAAGGCAAGAACCTCTGCAGCAGCTGGCAGCACAGTATGACCAGCCATATCACTGCAGACCAGGAACTAGAAACTACACCTCACATTAATGCCCTGCCCAAATATCTCTCACTGGAGTTTGGGATACTTTCGTTCTCTCTGTCATTTGTTTCCCAGATTGCTCATTCAGCTTGGTGGCTTCTTAATGTGGTGTCCCAGAGGAAGTCTTCCTACCAATTAATTCTTAATTCCCCAGCCTCTAATTCCACTGAACATTTTTCTTGCTGGTGGCTGATGGAGGGTAGTAAGCACTGACAACCCCTCCCCTTTGTACCATAACTTGTTGTATGCCTACTGTTCTTCCTCTTTCTCACCTTCAAGAACATACAGTTCCTCCATGGGGTGACAGTGATTTCCAGTCCCTTGGTGAAGTCAGCTCTCTGATCTGCTCTAGGACTGTTCAAAGGTGGCCGCTTTGTACACGTATACTGTACAGGTAACATCTTTAGATGTTTCACCCAACCACTGTAACCTTCTCTCCCATTATTTGGCACCCCGATATCCTATTTGCTCTTGTCTACAGCAGCACAGCAGTGCATTTTCAACAAGATGGAAATGGTATTTTTCTGTGGCGTTACTTCATAGCTTTCTCAGACAGAGAAGCAGTTCTTTTTTCTCTACAGCAAAGCCATTATTGTCTTCTGCACAGCACCGGGAATTAGCAACACCAGAACAGTCTACAGCGAGTACCTCATTTCTTTCTGGTTTTGACTAATGAGGAGACACAGGTTCTGCTACTTTACTGATTCCCCAGGAAAACATTTTCCTCATCACCCTAGTCAATTCAAGTTTTTTAGTGCCCACTTGGCCACAGGTTCTTTTAGACTGACTGCAACAAGAGCTTTGAACAGCCAGTCTTCCACGTACCACTGTCTTAAGACTGCTCTGAAGAACTTCAGAGATTAGCCAGAGACTGCAAACTGCCCAAATCCTGCCACGACCTGCCCCCAAGTGCTTTGCTGTTCCATCAGATCAGGTGTAGGCTGAACACCTGCCTCAGTTCCCCAGACCACCCTCCAGCACTTTTCAACACACACGTCTGTTACTTTCCCATCCTCTAGTAGAGTAGTAGTTTTCAGCAAAGTTTACTATTTTTTCTAGCAGCTCAGTTCACATGGCACTCTGATGAATCATCCAGAAATAATGGTCTCTGACATTTCAAGTCATTACTATGCTTTCTTTTTCCTTTTCCAGCACTTCTGAGGTACTGCACTACCAAAAAGCAACTCCCAGGCTGGCATGTGCCAGATAGCCAATCCTCTGCAGACCGAAGCCCAATATATGTAAAGAATATCTCTTGCATGGTTTTGGCTAGTCACTCCTTATCCTCCATTTTGAACCTTTAACAAAAAACATCCCAAAGGGAATTCATACTATTATTTACTAGCGCTATGAAGATAAGAATGTAAATTTTTAGAAATGTCTACATGGCTCAAAGAGCTTCTTAAATGAACAGTGCTTTTTTCCCTTGTCATCTTGGTGACTTTTGTTCAGTTGCCTGAGCATCCCAGAATGCTGGGCTACCCTGGAAGCACCCCAGTCTTTCCTGGAAACAGAGTATTGACATCTTAGTCTTTTCAGCTAACCCCTCAACTAGCCAAGATTTCATTATCCAAAATTTAACATCATTTTTTGGCACTCTACTTGCTCCATACATAGTACAGTCACTTACTTAGAGGAGTCCCCCCTATGGTTTAACTGGCTGCTGTGAGCTACTGATAGCTGCCCAAACAGCCCTCCCCTTTGTACATGGTAGAATAAGCTGCTCTGTCAGAACACCAAGGAACCATTTCTCCAACATGCTGGACTTCATTTGACAAGCCTGTGATTGGTCTGAGTCACTTTGCTGAACTGTTCAGTCAGGTTTTGCTAAGGACTGTTCCAACTACAGTGTCTTAATTTCCCACCCCTCCATCTGGGGAACAATTCACATCTCAGCTGCATGGAATCTGTTCACAGAACATGGGAGCAAGGTCTTCTTCCACTCAGAAGTTACCTTCCAGGGAATTTTTTGTGCCCAGACAGAGGGTGACTGCTCCTTCACCACCAGCACCACCAGCTCCCTTTTGTTTCCCCATTAGTGGTGAAATACCAACACTGACTTGAAGGAAGAGTCCCAGGCAGGTCTTTAGTGCTCACCCATGTGCCCTGGCGTCTGCTCCACACGCACATGACCAGCCCCCTCCAAGAACACCACAGGGTACTCACATCATTTTGACTCCTTCCCTGTCCGCATGATTAATCTCTGCCAACACTGCACTCATGTCAAGGTTTTTGGTCATTTCTTCTAAAGCATTTTCAGGAATCATATCTATTAAAAAAAAAAAAAAGTTAGAACAACTGCAAAATTCCTTT